GGGGGGGGGGGGGGGGGTACACTCTGGACAGGTCGCAAGTCCATCACAGGGACACACAGAGACACATGACAAACCATTCAGTCTCTCACTCACACCTAGGGACAATTTAGAGTTACCAATTAAGGGCTCGACACACGGGAGGCGATGTCGCTCGCTCTCCATTCATTTCCTATGGAGCCTGTGCGGTGAGGCGACAATCGCTTGCCCTCCTCCAGCTAAGCGACCGGCGAAAATAGTGCATGTGAAATTTCGTGCTCGTACACGTAGATGTGCACACGCGTGCTTGCGACGCGACATATGAAAGTTGAAAAATGTTCAACTTTTGTCGCTGTCGCTTAGCGTACAACCAATCAGCGAGGGTTTCATTGACTGACCAATGAGAGGAGAGTATGCTACACACTGCVGTTAGCTAACACTTTCACCAAGTGATTACTAAAAAGCTTTGTGGGAATTTATTGKCACCAGGGTGAAGTTTATGGTAAGTTTTTCCTCATAAAACTGTATCTTGATGTGCGTTTGTTTTTCAATACCATTAGCATCGCAAGATTTGTTTAGTTTGCACGTCCGTAATGCACACCCCCCTTCAGAGTCAAGAACCAATCAAATTTTGTGAAGACAAGCGACCTGAGAGCGCGATTCGCAACGCTGCGATCGCTATCGCGTCCCGTGTGCCGGGTTTCACCCTGGCTGCGATGACAGCCGTTGTTCGCTGTAGTTTGTCGCTGCCCGTGTGTCGAGCCCTTTAACCTAACAGTCATGTTTTTGGTCTGTGGGAGGAAGCCGGAGTACCCAGAGAAAACCCACACATGCACGGAGAGAACATGCAAACTCTACCCAGAAAGGTCCTGAGCTAGGATTTGATCTGGTGACGTTGCTGAGAGGCATCCTCTATCAAATTTTATAAGATAGGAAATCACTATCTAACAACAAACATCTCAGTCATCTACCCTAACAAACAAGTAGAATCTGTCCATCCAGAGACTTCCAGATCTCTATTTCCACGACCACTTTTCAGATCTTCTGGGAGGACTCCAAGATGTTCCCAAACCTGCAATTTCCTCAGGGTCTCCTCCCAGCTGGGAGACCCAAGACACCCAGCAAACCTCCCTAGGGTAGTGTCCTGGGGTCATCCATCCAGGGGAATGTGGATGAGCAGCAGTTTTGATCTTCTTACCCCATCTTGAAGGGAGAGTCCAGCTACTCTGCAGAGAGAGCACATTTCCACCACCTGCCTCGTGCTGTTGTTCACTTCTCAAATTTTGTGACTAGGGTAGGAAAGTGGAATGACTGGTAAACATAGAGCTTCTCCTTATACTGTAGCTCAGGTGTAATACTGCACAAGCTGCACTGATTCATCTGTTAATCTAATGCTCCGTTCTTCCTTCACTCCTGAACAAAGCCCCAAGATACTTGAACTCCTCCACTTGTGGCAGAACCCTCACATTCACACAGCACTCTGATCTCTCTCTGAAGCTAATCTAGCTTAATCAATCTATAGAGTGCTATTAGTGCTTTTAAATCACATTCAACCACTGATGGGACACACATCAGAAGCAATTGGGGTTCATCTTCTTGCCCAGGGACATGCGACTCTCTCGTTGGACGACAACAACTCCCCTAACCACTTAGCCATAGCTGCCCAGGTTTTAGATCATCTGTTCCCATCTAGATTATGTTTTTATTAGGGAAAGCTTTACAGATTTCATTCAGACAAATTTAAACCACATCCTGCATCCATTGCAACATGACTTCTTAGTAGAAGAGTCCAGGTGTTACATTGAATACATCATGAAAGAGAAAATCCATCAAAGTAGATCCAGGCCTGTAGAACAGCTAAAATCCTCCATCAGACCAGCATGGGACAACATTCCGTCCAAAACCTCCAACAACTGATCTCCTCCCAGAACTACTTTATATCGCTTCCATCAAATTCTAAATGGACTTTTTCTTTCTCTAAAAATGTTAGTTTAACCATTTGATATGTTTACTATGGTCCACTGTAAATAAGATATGGGTTTATGGGATAACTTTTTTAGCATTGGGCTGAACTCTGCAAGTATTTCAGTTTGTCTGAACAGCTTTCTCAATATATTTTCAGTTGATGAAGCGGAAGGGGTGAGCAAATTCCTCAGCGATACTACAGCTCAGTGGAAAAATCTGGCTTTGGAGGTCCGAAGTGTTCGCAGTATGCTGGAGGAGGTGATCTGTAACTGGGAGAAATACAGCAGCACTGTGGCAGCTCTGCAGGCCTGGCTGGAAGACGCTGAGCAAATGGTCAACCAGTCAGAGAATGCCAAACGTGTAAGTGCATTCAGCACAGAACACAACTCAGTCAGTGACTTTACACTTCAGACTGTATAAGTGAAGTACTGTAGAAATGACTGTCATTTAGCTGCGTTGAAAGCATGTGCAGTTCAGCTCCTGTGCTCCTCTTTATCTGTTTGGTTTCAGGACTTTTTCAGAAACCTGTCTCACTGGATCCAGCAGCACATGGACATGAACGATGCTGGTAATTTTCTTATTGAGACATGTGATGACACAGTCTCACGAGATCTAAAGCAGCAGCTTTTACTGCTGAACGGGAGATGGAGGGAGCTGTTTGTCAAAGTCAAACATGTAAGTTCTCTGAGCTTATGAACAGTACATTTATCCCAAAACATGTTTCATGTTAAGTCATTATTTCACTGAGCTACAAAAGTTAAAGACTAGTTGGTGGTTCTGTTCCATACAAGTTGTTTAAGTTTTGTATTTGTATTCCTTTCGGCTGCTCCCTTCTTCAGGGGTCAGGGGTCGCCACAGTGAGGTAACTTGCACGAGGATTTGAAATTGTTTTATAAGTCAAATGTCTGTTCTGGGGTAACCACAGACCCCTGAGGTACAACAGCTCACACGTGTGGATCAATAGGGTGCCAGCTAGTGGAATAACTGTGGTGGGAGGTGGGTTAAGAGTGGAGTTAATGAGGGTGGAGGCAGATGTGTGAATCTTTGGCTGGATGTAAGTGTGTAAGACTTGGTTCGATGGACAAGTTTTGCAGTGTAAATGTGCAGCCAGAGAGAAGAATCTACCGGGGGAAAAAAGTTTAAACATGTCATAAATATCTGCATCTCATTGTATGACTTATATAAAAGTTTAAAGTGAACCACAGTTTAAAGAAAAAAGTTAGAGCTGCTGTGAGTGGATCATTATGGTCCAGATGTCTCTATGTGTCCCTGTGATGGACTAGAGACCCGTCCAGGTAAATGGTAACTCTAGGATGTTCCTGCTCTGAACAACATCTGAGCTACAAATCCTTGGACTACATCTAAAAAAAGTTGAACAGTTCCTCTAGAACAGGTTCTTCTTTTAGATAAAATGTTTCTCCATTGAGACTTCTTCGGTCTGAGGAGCACCAGCTGATGGTTCTCTGTGAACCACTGGGACAATTGGGGCACTAACAATCTGTTGTTAAGCTGATGGCCCTCCTTTGCATGTCCACACCAGTTTTGATTGTCATCATTAAACCTTGTTGGATGCACTGCCTGTGAGGCTGAGTTCACCTGAAACTCCCCATAGGGTTCCCACGGGTCCCTGAAATCCTTGAAAGTTTGTGAATTTGAAAAAATGATTTCAAGGCCCTGGATAGTTTGTGAAAACAGCCAAAAATTACACTTGTCCTTGAAAGTCCTTGAATGTTTTTTGGGGATTGAAATTCTCTACTCACATGACTTATTTTCATCATCTTTTAAAAAATAATGTATAAAATTTAATAAAAAATAAACTTAAATTTGTTGCGGTGGATAACTCAAGATTATAGTAAACTGACATCATGTTTCTGACTCAACAACTTCTATGTTGTTCAGTTTTTAAATGAATTTACATGATATTAAACCTGTTTATTGGTAACATTCTGTGATAGCGGTTAGTAATTGCTTTTGCGAGTGGTTCTTTAATTTGAGGAAGTTGGTACTGGAAAGTCCTTGAAAGGTCCTTGAATTTGATGTTGGCCACGGTGTGGGAACCCTGTCCTCAGACTGAAGAAGTCTCTTAGAGGAGAGATGAAATGTTTTTAAAAAGGTTAACTTGTCCAGACTATTCCACTTTTATTATTATTATTTTATCTGGATTATTGAGATGCATCAGGACCCCTTGGACTGCAGATTGTCAAACTGTTCTGCAAAAATATTTTTGGATTTTCAATCATTGCCAAAACAAAATGCAGCCTCGCAACTTGTTTGGTATTTATTCTGTGAGAATTCATTGAAAATTTCTCATCATTTAGAGTCATCAACTAATCTTCAACAGCCGTAGCTCAGTTTGATACTGGCTTTACAAAAAAAGAAACAGTTGTCACTTCCTTTTTTTTTCTACTGGCAGTATGCAAGAGCAGATGAGGTAGATAAACTGAGGCAGGACTACCATGATGGGATTAATACCTTGAAAATTTTCATGGATGCAACCAATGAGAAGATGACTGCTCCTGTTCAAGTGTCTTTCCTTAATGTCAGAGCCTTTGTTCAGGATGTTGAGGTAAACTGCTCTGTAATCCTAACTTATTTAGACCTGTCTTCTCCATGTCGGTCTCTATTCTTAATCACATTGTTTGTTTTATTTTCTGTAGGAAATCAAACACAAAGTGCCAGCGATGGAAGCAGCCTGCAATGCAGCAAGCCGTACGGCTCAGCTGTTGACCAAAGACACTCCGCAAGAGGAGATTTCACAGATGATGAGTGTGATGGCTTCCATCAAAGAGCAGCTGAGTAAGGTCAGTTTAATGTCGGCAAACAATCAGATGTTAAAGTTTGGTAATCTAAAAATAATTTATAAAAAAACATTTGTTTTAACAACTAGGATGCAGTGATTTGCAGTCAGTAACGTTTTAAGATACAGATGTTGATAAATCACTTGGTACACTTAGAACGTGGTTGATGTCTAATGCTTCTGTAACCCTACATCCAGGATTTATTCCTCCTTCTCTTGGGTCCATAAAACATATTCTCGTATCAACTACATATTTCTTGATAAGAAAATTTGGCAGCAAATAAAGTGTGATTATGGAAGTATTGTCATCTCAGACCATGGACCACTCTCTATAAAATTGCTTATTTCTAGTAATGGTAGTATGAATCAAAAGCTTCAAAACATGCTTCGAACCCTGAAGTAAAATGTCATCGGACCACTGCTTCAGAGCCTGTTTCAGTGTGGAAGAAATCACATGATGTCCAAAACAAACTGTTTAGTTGTCAGAATGAATCACTTGACTGGTTCGCGGTCCAATCAGCTGATTCCCTGGTACCACCTCGTCTTGATTCTGACAGTTGACAGGCTGAGACAGGTTTGAATTTGAGAGCGATCAACACTATAAAACAAATCCACTGTTGCACAGATCAAAAGACCCGCTGGTGTACTGGCTGAACCATCATTTTTAATGCTTGCCAGCAAGACCCTCTTTATTCTGAACTATTTTTTCTCTCTTTCTTTTAAGTACTTTAGATATACACTCACGAGCCACTTTATTAGATACACCTTGCTAGTACCAGGTTGGACCCACTTTTGCCTTTAGAACTGCCTTAATCCTTCATGGCACAGATTCAACAAGGTACTGGAAACATTCCTCAGAGATTCTGGTCCATGTTAACATGATAGCATCACACAGTTGCTGCAGATTTGTTGGCTGCACAGCCATGATGAGAATCTCCCGTTCCACCACATCCCAAAGACGCTCTATTGGATTGGGATCTAGTGACTGTAGAGGCCATTCAAGTGCAGTGAACTCATTGTCATGTTCAAGAAACCAGTCTGAGATGATTCACGCTTTATGATGGCACATTATCCTGCTGGAAGTAGCCATCAGAAGATGGGTACGCTGTGGTCCTAAAGGGATGGACATGGTCAGCAACAAAACTCAGGTAGGCTGTGGCGTTGGTACGTTGCTCAGTTGGTACTAATGGGCCCAAAGTGTGCCAGGAAAATGTCCCCCACACAATTGCACCACCACCACCAGCCGGAACTGTTAATACAAGCCTGGATGGATCCATGCTTTCATGTTGCTGACGCCAAATTCTGACCCTACCATCTGAATGTCGCAGCAGAAACCAAGACTCATCAGACCAGGCAACATTTTTCTAATCTTCTGTTGTCCAATTTTGGTGAGCCTGTGTGAATTGTAGCCTCAGTTTCCTGTTYTTAGCTGAAAGGAGTGGCACCCGGTGTGGTCTTCTGCTGCTGTTGCCCATCTGCCTCAAAGTTTGTGATGCTGTGTGTTCAGAGATGCTCTTCTGAATACCTTGGTTGTAACTAGTGGTTATTTCAGTTACTGGTGCTGTTCAATCAGCTTGAAACAGTTTGGCCATTCTCCTCTGACCTCTGGTATCAACAAGGCATTTGTGCCCACAGATATTTCCACCTCATCAGTGTCTCAGACATTCTGTTATACAGTTTAAGTTTGTACATTGTCTTCACTGGTCAAAGGATAAACTAACAAGTGTCAAGACAGACCTGGATCCCACATGGGACCATTGTAAGACATCTCCAGCCACTCTGCTGCACACGTTTTGGTTGTATCCAAATTTACATAGTTTATGGAGCTTAATCTTTGAAACTTTCTCCAAAATAACAGGACAAATGATCCACCCAACGCCTCTGATTTCACTGTTTGTTGTGATTCCCTCTGAATCATCTCTGAACAAACTAGAGTCGAACATGATTGCGTACTCCTCTTTAATGGCCAGAAGACTTATTTTCCTTAAATTTTATTTTTGTTCCGCTCTTGGAGGAGTAAGACGCTTTTTCCTTCTCTCCTGCCCTTCCTTATCTTCCCTGCTTTGCTGCTTGGAGCCTTCTCTACGTTTTCATCCGAAACCAGAAATTATGGATATTTTTATTTTTATGGATTTGGTTAGCTGGTCTCTTAATAAATTTTTGGAACAAAGATTTTTCTTCCATGGGAGGAAATGCCAAAGGTGAGACCTCTGTTCTGGTCTGTTCTGGATTTATATTTGGATTCTGATCACTGGATTCTACAGATTGGCTTGGTGGTGTTTCTACAAAACAGCTTCGGTGGCTGTTCATTTCCTGGCTGCCTGACCAGTATGAAGGATTGCCATTCTATCAGCACTGCCCATATGATGTCTGACGATTCACCTATCTTGTTATGATGTCTTAGATTATTCTGCCTTTTTTGTATCATTTTTTAAATCATGCAAAGCTCTTTGTATCGCCTTGCTGCTGAAAAGTGCAATATAAATAAATGTTACCTTACCTTACATTACCTTCGGTGGTCTAAATGAGAGGTGCCCAATGTGGGGCACTAATACATGAAATTGTAATTTCATGTATTAGTGCATTTGGCCCACAGCCTTCAGATCAATTTTCATTTTGGCCCTCAGAAAAAATGTTTGGGCACCCTTGGTCTAAATAAAACATTCATGTGTTCACCTATTTGGATGTAACAAATCGTTCTAACACTACATGCACAATAAATGTGCGGCTCAATGAGAGCCAGCATCAATGTTGCCAAATATACCTGTTACCAATTTTTTGGCTCTTTGTTTTCTTTTTTGTGCATATGTCCACCAATCACATCTCATCTTAGAACCTCAGTGACAGTGCACCTCACTCAGCACTTATGATACTTTGAGTCATAATATGTACAATGATTTAAAGTGACTCACAACCCTGCCTGGCATGCTAATTACAGTGGATCCATGCAAACAAAAGTTTCTGAGATTGTTAAGTTACAACTGGAATGTTTTGGCTCCAGTCACATTAGTTGTGTTTTTTTATTGTTGTAGAAATGTACCATCAGAACTGTCTTCAGCAGTACATCTCAGGTAATTGTTGAATAGTTTATTATACCATTTACACTTTATTTTTATTCAACCAGGTTAGGGAGAGATGTCTGCCTCTGCTGAGAGAGTCTCAGTCCCTCTTACCCCCACTGGAGGAAATGGAGAAGAACATCACAGGTTTTTACCAAGCTCTGGAGAAGACTAGCCACATCACCAGCAACACAAACTCCGAGGGACCAGCCGACTTCAAACAGAAATGCCAGGTACTCAGTATAAATTGTACACTAATATGATGCTTGTAAATAATTCATTCAAATTTCAATAATTAGTATGTAAGTATACTGTATATCAGTAATTCAATAATAACCAATCTTTATCACCTAAAGGCAAAGGCGCATGTGTGCTTGTGTGTGTGTCTTTCTGTGAAAAATATTTCATGAATCACTGGATGAATAAAAAATTAATAAAGAAAATACTCTTTGGGTATTCAACCAATTAACTTTTAAGTTCATTCCAATTAAAAATGGCCACCACAGTTCTGAACATTAGTCAACACTTAAATGTCTATAATTCAGTCTGTTGTACTTATATTGAGCTAAAATTTGATTTGGTAGTAGCTGAGAGCCATTCTCAACAACTGAGTGAGACATCTTACAGTAGTGCATGGGATTGCTCATAACGTTATTTAAGATTTGTTAAAAACATTTACTACTCAGTTGTTTCTCAGCATGGTACGATCTTAAGCCCTGCGCACGGGATAAGCAAAGCCTGAGTTTTTCCTGAAATTTATGGACATCTCCCAAATGTGATATTGAAACCTGGTTAGTTGACGCGTTGAACACGGCGAGGGTGTTCGTGCCAAAAGTGCCACGCGAGGCTGTGCGCGCTGTGCATCATTTAGTTTGTTTATTCGTCTTTTTTTACTCTTGCTTTTGTTTGCTCTCTCCTATGTACAACATTTTATGTTATAAAGTGTTCTGCTGCATGTCCTTTTGGAGAATACTACAACAATGTAAGCGCCAAGTATAAATGCCTACACTGCTGTCGAGGGTGCGCGCCCGGCGCGAGTGCCCAAAACACGACCATGCGCTGTGCTGCGGCCACAGCTCAGTGCTCAGCATCAGCCAGTAGGCTGCAAACAGAAAAATTAGATATTCTTACCACACATTGAATCACCATTTGCATCTGATTGAATTCCTTCGCTTCAGCCTTTTCTTCTTCTTTTTTTGATGCCACACTTTACGTGTCGGGTTTTTCCAGCCTGGGACCTAAAATGTTTTCAGTGCACTCCAATCCAGCCTCCATTCTTCACCAACAGTAAACAAAAATGCACCGAGGAAACAAAACAAAACAAAAAAAACTATTTACATATGGGATTCAGCCCATTTATGTCCTAACAACAGAGATGCCTATTCACATTGGATTAGTATTATCACAGGACCTTGGAGTTCAGCAAAATATAGTAGGTAATTTGCAGGGGAAATTTTATTTTATAAATTACTGACATGACTGATTTGCATTGGATTAACAACACAGAAAATCTCTGCAATTATTACAAATAAAAAGGGGTCCCTAGGTAAAACTAATCCCGTCAGTATAGGGCTTTAGTGTAAAAGTGTGGGATGAAAGAGGTTGCATGCATTTCTTTAAGTAACACTAGGTTTGTAAAGTTAAATATGACACCCTGCTTGTCATTTAACAGGAGCTGGCGACTTGCACACAAAGCTGTAAGAAGTGCCTGACTGTCATAGAGAAAAATCATCAGATCATCCAGAATATTGTAAGCACCAGTAGCACACTTCAACACATGGACATGAGTCTGCTGCAAAAACGAGTAGCAGATCTGCAAAGCTCCTCTCAGGTAACCTTCACTTAATACATTTACCGTAATTGTATAAATTCGGATTCAACTTATTCACACACTGCTACTTCTGTATACTTTATGCATTTTTAACCATTTATACAAACTTATCATTTAGGAGAAGGGTACTATGACTTGTTATTTGTAAATGTAAATGACTTGAACTTAGATAGCGCTTCATCAAGCCTAGTCCCGTGCTTTATACTTCAATCATTCACCCATTCACACACTGGTGGTTATGAGTAATGGCAGTAATATGTATTTTTTCCACATATAAACCACTACGTGAAGTGCAGGGTCATGTTGTTTTTGTACTGTCTATTTTTTTCTTTTTTTCCCCAGATATTTTTGGTCAACCGTAACACAGAAACTGCTGCACCTAGCAGAATGAAATTAGGTAGCAATATAGAAGTGCCCCACCTACATTGTGCTAGCAAACAGTTTTGTGATAGACCCCAAATTTCAAGTGGAGGCGCCATTTGAAAAGTTGATGTCTGGACAAACAAAACTATTCAACATAGGCACTTCACCTTTTTTGTTTGTTTGTTTGTTTAGCTCTACTGAAGGGCTATCATTTCATGACATCATCTATGCAACTGTCACTTAGCAGTAGGCAAAAGAATAAAAAAGACAAAAAAAATTCAAGCCTGTAGATCTATAAACATGATCAGATCTTGATGAAATTTGGCACAGATGTCCTGCCTGACCTACACCAAGAGTCCAACAGCCCGATATGCATGTTCATTATGTTCACCCAAAACGTCCTTTAACCAAAACTGCTTCTACTCAAAGCGTTCTCTATAGATAATTTTTTATATTTTTAAAAAATCTACAGTACTGTTTCCTGGAGAGATTAGTACATATATGGGAAATTGTGATAAAGTCATTCAAAACAATCTGCTGGCTTCCTTAGATCGTTTAATTTTTGTGTACAGTACCCTGAGATGATGTATGTTGTGATTTGGACCTATAAACAGTGGCTTCCAAAAGTATGGATACCCCTAGAACCTTTTCCATATTTTGTCTTTTCCATATTTTGTCACATTACAACCACAAACATAAATATATTTCACTGGAATTTAATGTGAAAGACCAACACAAAGTGGTATACAATTGTGTAATGGAAAGAAGGTTATACATGATTCAAAACATTTTTTACAAATAAAAAGTGAAAAGTGTGATGTGCAAAAGTATTCAGCCCCCTTTTCTCTGAGAGCAGTCAAATGCATTCAGAAGTTGCCTGGTGACTACTAATGACTAAATAGTGTCTAGTAGTAATCTAATCTTGGGCGGCTTTGGCAAAGTGCTTAGGGGAGTCGTCCTGGTACCGGTAGGTTGCTGGTTCAGTCCCCCATTCCAGCTGTCCGGTTGTTGTGTCTTTGGGCAAGACATTTCCAATGCCTCTGATGATGTGATCAATTTATGAATGTGATTTGAAAGCAATGATTAGTCTCTATAGGATGATTTGTACTTTGTAGAGAGAGTAGAGAGTGCTGTGTGAATGGGTAAATGAAGGTACAGCTTGTTGTATAAAGCACTTTGAGTATCCTGGTTGGATAGAAAGGTGCTATATAAATACAGTCCATTTACCATTTACCATTAATCTCAGTACAAATACAGTTGCTCCATGACGGCCTCAGAGTTTGGTTAAAAGAATATTGTGGAGCAAACAGCATCATGAAGTCCAAAGAACACATTAGACAGGTCAGAAATAAGGTTATGGAGAAGTTTAAAGCAGGCTTAGGCTATAAAAAGATTTCCCAAGATTTGACCATCTCACGGAACCTACCAAGACAAGGCCGTCTACCTAAACCTACAGGCTGAACAATGAGAGCACTGATCAGAGATTCAGCCCATGGTGACTCTAGACGAAAAGCAGAGATCCACATCTCAGGATGGGGAATCTGTCCACGGGACAACTATTAGTTATGCACTGCACAAATGTGGTCTTTATGGAAGAGTGGCAAGAAGAAAGCCATTAAAAGGAAGCTATAAGAAGTCCTGTTTGCAGTTTGCCAGAAGCCATGTTGGGGACACAGCAAACATGTGGAAGAAGATGCTTTGGTTAAACACAAAACGCTATGCGTGGCAGAGAATTAACACTGCACATGACTGTGAACACACCATCCTCACTCTCAAATATGGTGGTGGGAGCATCATGCTGTGTGGTGCATCTCTTCAGCAGGTACAGGGAAGATGGTCAGAGTTGTTGGGAAGATGGGTGGAGCCAAATACAGGGCAATCTAGGAATAAAATCTGTTGGAGTCTGAAAAAGACTTGAGACTGGAGCAGAGGTTCACCTTTCAGTAGGACAACGACCCTAAACATAAAGCCAGGGTTCCAATGGAGTGGTTGAAAATAAAACATTTTCATGTATTAAAATGGCCCAGTGAAAGTCCAGACCTAGACCCAATCCAGAATTTGTGGAAAGATATGAAAACGGCTGTTCACTAACGCTCTTCATCAAATCCGACTGAGCTTGAGCTGTTCAGCGAAGAAAAATGGGCCAAAATTTCAATCACTAGATGTTCGAAGCTGGTGGAGACATACTCTAAAAGATATGTGATTACACAAAGTATTGATATTGATGTACAGGATTGATGTACACCACACTTTTCACTTTATTTGTAAAAAATATTTTGAATCAAGTATAATTTTCTTTCCACTTCACAATTATATACACTTTGTTGGTCTTTCACACTAAATTAAAATGAAATATATTTATGTTTCTGGTTGTAATGTGACAAAGTGTGGGAAACTTCAAGGAATATGAATACGTTTGAAAGCCACTAAATAAACTGATAAATTCAACATGACATCATGCATGTGAATGTAATTTGTTTCATTATCACTCTGCTCTAAAGACTACCAAGAACAGATATGGTTTTTTGTTTTCCATCAACAAAACATTGTATTTGTATTGATCATTCCAAAATCACTTCTCATATAAATACCAGAACATCTCAAACAGCTGAAACCCGTATGTGAGTTGTGGTGCGTGAGTGGTTTGTGTATGTGTGAAGGTCATATATGTTACTGCTATGCAGCATTTAGTTTACAAATATAATTATCATTAAAATACATTCTGATCAGTTCAAATCCTTCTCAAATATTGTTTCTTTTGAAATTAGCTTCAGAATACTGTTTGTTTTTATATTACTTTTAGTTTTTAACTATATTCTACTACTTTGTAACTAATTTTTTGCTTTTAGCTACTTTTAGCGTACAGCTAACCTTTGATCTTTTTGTTTTTAGTTAGCTTTTTGCTATTTCAAAATTCTTTACTAACTTTAGCTAATGTTTTGTTCTTTTAGCTTTTATGTAATTCAGTTCAATTCAATCCATTTCAATTTAATTCATTTCAGTTTATTTATATAGCGCCAAGTCACAACACACGTTGTCTCAGGGCACTGTACATGAAAGAAGAACAATCTAAAGAAGAAACCAGCAGATTGTGTTGAATCACTTCATCACAGTCTCCCATCCTGAGCAAACGGTGGAGAGGAAAAACTCCCTGCTAATCAGGAAGAAACCTCCAGCAGAACCAGGCTCAGGACAGGCAGCCAATTTCCCACTTACAAGTTGTAAATTCACACTGGAACGCCCCTCCAGTGTGAATTCCCGGTCTGAAAGTGAGAGAGTTCCAAACTGAAGATGACGGCTACTCGAAACAGTGAGTACAGTTGTGGTCAAAAGTTTACATACACTTGTAAAAAAACATAATGTTATGGCTGTCTTGAGTTTTCAAT